TGTGTGTGTGTGTGTGTGTGTGTGTGTGTGTGTGTGCGTGCGCGCGCGCACATATATGATGTGCATGCATGCCTAAGTGTAGGCCACAGCGCACATGTGGAGGTCAGAGGACGATCTTGGGCATAGGTTCTCCTTTTCCATCTTGTTTGAGACAGGTTCTCTGTTGTTTGCCTGCAGCAGATGCCAGGCTAGCTGGGTAAAGTCTTCCGGGGATTCATCTGTCTCCACCTCCCATTCGCCCTGACAGTACTGGGGTTAGCAGTGTGTTTACTGTGCTCCGATTGCTTTGTACTGTGGGCTCTAGGGACTCAAACCCAGGTCCTCATGTTTGAATGGCAGACACTGCACCTACTGAGCCATCTCTGAAAGGCTTTTAAAAAGAACTTTTAAAGTTCTTGGGATCTTGATAAAGTTGGCACCATGGATGAACTGCAGGGAGGTCTTTTTTTTCCCCCCCTCATGATGTTGTGACTTTTCATTTGCATACTGATCACCTGTATATCTCATGTGTTTTGCTCATTTTAAAATCATCAGCATATTAATTGTATTCATAGGGTTCATTGTGGTAATTCCATGATTTGACCATGCTGCCCCCTTGGGAAGCTTTTATTCCTCAAAAATATTTGCTACTGGTAATATGGTGAGCAGTTGAGATTATAAAGAAAGGAGGGAGATTTGAGGACAATCCTCATGAAAAAGTCCCCAAGGAAGTAGGAGATAGAATTTTATTACAAGTCATATTCTTTTCCCACTCACAAATTCTGGGGAAGAGGAAGGTGGGGGCAGACAAGAAAAATGAATCCAGTAATCAGCTGAAACCAAAGCTTTCAGATATTCTGGAAACAAAAGGCTTTGTTCAAGGCCCTTCCTTAGTAGTTTCTGAGAGCCCTCCAGACCTCTGCCTCTGAGGAAGAACACACTGGCTCCCTGCCCCAGAAGACTGGTCATTGATCCCATCCTTACCGTAGCATGGTCAAAGTGAGGTTCATAGTGCCCTCCGATTCCATAGTTCACCACCTGGAGATACTCTGCATAGGGAGGCCGGATGTCAAGGCCTGTGAGGGCAGCAATTCGGTGGTCAAGGGTCACCAGCATTGGGTCAACTGTGTCCTTCAGCCAGGCACTAAAACACAGCAAGAATTGGAACAACAGTGATCTGATGTTGGGAATGACTACATGATGTCTGTGAATGAGTGGATGGTGTGGTGGTTTGAAAGGAAATGGCCCCCAAAGGGAGAGGTACTATTAGGAGGTGTGGCTTTGCTGGAATAGGTGTGGCCTTGTTATAGGAAGTGTGTCATTGTGGGGGTGGGCTTTGAAGTCTCCTTTGCTCAAGCTATGCTCAGTGTGGTTACACAGTTCACTTCCTGTTGCCTGCGGGTCAAGATGTAGAACTCTCAGCTCCTTCTCCAGCACCATGTCTGTCTGCATGCTGCCGTGTCCCGCCATGATGATAATGGACTAAACCTCTGAAACTGTAAGTCACCCAATTAAATGTTTTCCTTTGTGAGAGCTGCTGTGGTCATGGTGTCTCTTCACAGCAGTAGAAACCCGAGACAGATGGATGAGTGAATGTATGAATAAACAAATGAATCCAGTCAGTTAGAGGGAAGGAGCCACGAGCCTGACCACCTCGTCCTCCCTCATGTCAGGCCAGCCCAGTGTGCTTGGCCTACTATTTCAACATTAACATAGCTAACATTCTCCGAGGCTAGTGCTGAGCTGAGCAGAGCAAAAGCTCACAGAACCCAGGGCTGTGACTCAGAGCTGAAGATGACAAAACCCATCCTTAAAACTGCTGTGCCCTGAAGACATCTCCTACAGAGGAGGCAGAGTACTGGGAGAAGAGCCGGGACTTAAAGCGATGACTGTGGGATGTGGTGGTGTGTACCCCACCCTCAGGAACGTGGGGGGTCAGGAAAGGAAGGAGGAATGGGAGAGGAAAAAACTAAAGCAGCAATAGCAGTTCTTCATCGCTGCAGGATGCCGATAGCGCTTAACCTTTAACCCCTCCAAGGGCCAGTGTGCTCCTCTGTAAGTGGGAGTGATGGTTATATCTACTTCCGGATCTTAGAAAACCGAGAGAAACACCATGGAGGTGTTCTGTACGGTGTGTTGGTGACTGCTATGATACCCAAGGGAGTCACAACTGTTTCAACTCGGGCAAACCAGGATCTGTCAAAGCCCAATTCAGACTCTTCCTGAATGTCTTGTTGAGGTTCTTTCAATGTAAAACAATTGGAGTCAGGATCGAGGCCCTAGAAAAATGAGGCCATGTTTTCTAAGCAAGGCCAGTGACACCCTGACAGGTTAATTTGTTCCACATACTTTACACTCAGATTACCTATTAAATTAAATGCTCTTGGATTTGCAAAGACACCCAGGACAAAATTAGCCACTGCTTTCAAAGAAGGAAAACACAGAGGCTCAGTGGGTAAGAGCACTTACTGCTCTTGCAGAGGACCGGGGTTCAGTTCCTAGCATCTACACGGGGCAACTCACAACTGTCTGGACCTTCCCGATTACAATGCCTTCTTCTGGCTTCTGGGTTCAATGCATGCACATGGTGCACATACAGATAAGCAGACAGACAGTCCAAGGTTTAGAGAACAACTTTTAACGCCAATGTCCCTGCTAATGGTTTGGATGGAGAATGCTCCCCACGGGGGCAGGTGTCTGAACATTTGGTCTCCAGATGGTGATGCTGCTGCTCTAGGAGGTTGTGGAACCTGGGGGTGAGTCTGGAGGATCATAGTCCAGCCCCAGCCTCTGTCTTGGCTCCACAGAGATGTAAGAAGGTGAAGAGATTCCACTGCCCACTCCTGCCACCATGGATCCACCCGCCACCACACTTTCCCTGCCATGATGAACTGTGTCCCCTCAAACCAGTCACCAAAGCGAACCCTTCCCTTCAGCTGCTTCTTGCTCCCGGCAATATGCAGTGCACACAGTCCCTAGATGTACCAGACAAAATCAATTAAGCCCAAATAATCCTGAACCAAAGCCTCTGTCTCTCACGTCCCCTCCCAGAGGACAACACATGCCTAGAGGTCTAGCCTGTCTCTGGGATGCTGAGGCCACTTTCTCATGTGGCTCTGATGGACATTCCTCCTCTCATTCTCTCCCCAGTCCTGTCTTCACTGTGCACATAAACAGTGGAGGGGAGGGGAGGAGTGGAGGGAAGAGATGGGGAGGATAGGTCTGGGGACCACACTGGAGCCTGCTCCTTGAGAAGCCAGCAGGTCCAGGGGGTCCATTCCTGCCTGCTGCTTGGAAGGCTTTGTCTAGGAGTCAGGAGGTGGGAGTGGAGTCTGCAAAGTCAAATTACAGATGTGTGAAGGAACACACATTACAGATGTTTGTAGGAATGAACTCTGAGAAGACACCAGATGCATGCTTTCTGCTCTAAGGTGGAGTTTTCTCCAAGTGACTTTTCCTGGTGACTTCTTAGTTAATCTCCAGATAATATTATAATCTGGTGCAGGCACTGGGGTGACGGGGTGGAAATGTCTCTCATAATAGTTTCCCACAACTTGAACTACAGGCCATCTAAGAAAGGTTGTTACTGACCTAGCAATCAGCTGTGTCCTCAGCCCCAGGTGGGAGTGGGCCTTCCTACCTTTTGCTGATGCGGTACTCCACTGGTAACTGCTTTTCCCCCGAAGCCACCACTGATCTCTGGAGCTGGGAGGAAGCAAAAGAGAAAGCCCAGGTGGTTCTGGTGCAAAGTGATGGCCCAGCATGCCACAGACATGCCTCTCTCTAAAGCTTAACCATCACCAGCTCCTTACTCCATAAAGCGTATTTCATGTGTGCCACGAAAATGTCTCACAGAATTCCTTTTGTGCCTGCAGGACTGAGCTGGGGAAGAGCATAGCCATTTCTCATCTCGGCTTGTATCACAGAGTCAGGCCTGGGTCTTGCGCAGGGTAAACTCGATGCTTCTCAAATTAAAGGAACAACTCCGATCACAATGGGGTGCACTCAGGGGCGGCTTGCTCCTTCTGAAGAACCCTAAGCAAAGCCCTTCCCTACAGAGCTCACTGCTAAGCTGCAACTGCCTGGCTTACAAAAAGCCCAATTCTTTCAGAGTTCTTTTATTATTGTCTACAAACAAATCATTCATTTTGAGAGCAAATATTTATTGTATTTATGATATTAAGCACTGTGTTGTAATATATATATATATATATATATATATATATATATATATATATATATACTGAAATAAGTCAAGAGTAGAATGTTCCATACATTCCAGACAGAAAGAACAGAGGGAAGAAAGGGAGGAAGAGATAGATGGCTAAGTAGGTAAATCCATAGGTACATAGATGACAGAGACAGGGGGGGGGGTCCATTTACAGAAAAGACAAACAGCTGGATGGTTAAGGGCAAAGGGGGAGATACAGTGGAAGGGTGAGCAACAGCCAGGCTATAGAGCTGGGTCAACACTCAAGAGTTTAAGCAAGAGATTTAGAAAGTCCGTTCTGACCTTCAAAGATTAGTTTGGGCAGGCAGAGTGGCACTTGCCTGTAGACCCAAGACTCAGGAGGCTGAGATGGAAAATCCCCTGAACCCAGGAATTTGAGGCCAGTTAGGGCAACACAGCAAAACCTTCCTCAAAGTATAAAAATAAGGGGCTGGGAGACAGCTCAGTTGGCAAAGGGCTGCCGTGCAAGCAGGGGGACCTGCATTTGGATCTCTGGCATTCACACAAGAAGCCAGGTGTAGAGATGAGTCTGTAATCCCAGTGGTTAGGGAGGTGGAGACAGGTGGATCCTTGGAAATCATCTGGCTAGCCAGCTTAGCTGGATCGATGAGCTGCAGGTTTAGTGAGAGACTGTCTCAAAATATAAGGTAGGAGGTTGATAAGGAAAACCTTCAAATTCAACCTGGCATCATACAAATGAGTGTATACATCTAAACAAGTATAAACATCACACACATGAGACAAATCATAATACTCTGGGAGCAATAGCATAATATGGGTGGGAAGACAGGACATTAACCCACAAAATGTCCAGTGATCCCAGCCAATATATAATAAAGGGCATAATTAACATAAAACGTAAGTGCCATACAGCTGGAACCAGAAGCTTTGATTTCAGAGAAGGGACAGTTCAGCGCACGTGGCCCTGTAAAAGTGCCCTGAAGGCACAGTCATTCAGAGAACCAACAAGAGCAGGCTGGAGCCGCAGTCAGCACTGGGGGCCGCGGGAGGTACATGGTTTCCACTGAGTCCTTGAGGAGGATGGGCAGGGGGTAGATGGAGAGGGAAGTGATGGGAGAGGAGGCTTCAGGAGAGGAAGAGGGAGGAGGAGGAGGAGGAGGAGGAGGAGGCAGGGAGCCATGGTGGCTCATGGGGACCATCCTCCCACCAGCTCTCAGCTTATTCCTGGAACAGTCCCAGGCCAGCCAAGCACGAACAAGTCCACCGAGAGGTTGTTGGGGAAGGGAGTGTGGCAAGGTCTGTGCCTGCCAAATAGATGACCTTGCTGTGAAGGATTCCGTGAGCATCTCTGGATGGGTCCCCTGTTCCATCACCATGGCAACAGAGCGGTCCTAAGGAAAAGGCTGCCGCAGGCCTGATGCAGCTTGTGGCTCCCGAAGAAGCGGATGGCGCTGGCAGTGCACCGCTACCATCCCCGTCAGAGCTAACCACAACCACCACAACCACAGCGGACTCTAGACTGCCCGGGAGGACCGTCTGCGCGAAACGGTGATGGCTGTTCTCACGCCAGTCCATTTCCGCTCTCAGACGCAGCCATGGCCCTCTTCTGTTTACCGCCCCCTCCCCCCCCCCCAGCCATGGCTCTCTTCTGTTTACTGCCTCCCCCCAGCTCTTCCACAGCCTGCGGGGTAAAGCTAATGGAGTCTCATTGCCCGTCCCCATCAGGGATCATCGTCTGCCCTGTCCTTTGGGCACTTCAGCCACCAAGTTTCTCTCTGTTCCCTGAGCATATCACCCATCAGCCGCCCCGCAATGGGTGGCTTTGTCTTCCCAGAATGCCCTGGCCTTTACTCTCAGTGAAAGAAGCCTGCTCCCTCCTCTCCTCCCCGGAGCTCCCTCCCACCCGCCTTCCGGCCAGGTCACCTCACACTGCACATGTGATCACAGCACCTTTCCCCTTACACCAGTGGTTCTGGACCTTCCTGACGCTGCGACCCTTTAATGCAGTTCTTTATGTCGTGGTGACCCCCAACCACAAAATCATTTCCATGCTACCCCGTAACTGTCATTTGGCTACGGTTATGAATCATAATGTAAATATCTGTGTTTTCTGATGGTCTTAGGCGACCCCTGTGAAAAGGTCATTTGACCCCAAGGGGTCATGACCCACAGGTTGAGAACCACTGCCTTACATGGAGGAAAAGTTCCTCACCTCTTTGTAGAAGCAAAGGGTCTGGGCAGGCTGTGTTCTGGTTACTAAATGTCTCATTGGATGGGCAGCAGCTTAAGGACATGATGTCTGGTTAGAAATAAGTAATTCTGCACCAAATAACTGTGCCTTTAAAGAAAGCAGGACAGGCTTATAGAAGCGAGAGGGACTGTCTTTTCCCGCTATCTGCCACATTTCCCAGCAGGGGCAATGGCATCCCTTCCCACTGGCGCCAGCTCTGCCCAGTCTCTCGCTCTGCCTTCCTTCCCTATGAAGGGTTAGACAGCCTCCTTTAAGTCTTGGCCTTTTGAGACAGGGTCCCACTGTATTTCTGGCTGTCCTGGCACTCACTATGCAGACCAGGCTGTCTTCGAACTCACAGAGATCCTCCTGCCTCTGCCTGTGCCTTTACCAGAGACATGTGGACAGAAGTATGTTTGCACTTCCTCAGGGAAGCTACAAAAGCCAGCTCACGTTTGCATTCCTGTCTTGTTCCCCCTTCCATGAGACTGGTCAAGTCCCCACGGGAGGCTACTCTGCCAGGCTGGGTTCCAGATTGGAGACCAGCCATGGCAGAACTTCAGCCGACACCACCCAAACATGTCATGGGGCAAACTGTCGCTGTCACCAAGGGCCAGGGGCCACTTATTACCAAGCATGACTTAGCTTGAGCTTACTAATAAAAAGAACAACAGAGTGACAATAGGCACACTCTCAACTCCAGTCCTGACTCTAATCAAACCAGTTCCCTGTTCTGGGCCTCAGTTTCCCCTATGACAGGATCATGTTGAGGCAGGTCGTCCACATCTACCCTGTCTGTAAATTTGCACGAGTATTTCAGTCCTCGTCCCTGTCATGTTCTTTCTTTATGCTAACTCCAAGGGAAAATTGACATCAGAGAAGTCTCCTTATATTTTCTGAGATCCCTTTGAGACATCATGATACGCCCAGATCTCAAGCACACTGTTGGCCGGATTTTGACAACTGCTTATAACTATGTATCCCACACCCCTAAGAAGATATTGCCAGCACAATCTGAACATCTCTTAACCCCCCTGGCACCTCATCCTTTCCCACTAGAGGCAAGTGCAGCCATGATTTTCCCCTCCGCTGACTGGCCTTACAAATGGTCGGCATTTTGAACTCCTGGACTAAGAAAGAGTCTTGCCACGCCAGCTATCTGTTCTCCGGGCATGCGGGGACACAAAGGGGATCTGAAGATGCTCACCCACGGTTCTGCAAGCTCTCGGATTTTCTGAGCTTCTGCGTCACTAACAAAGTCATGGTAGAGAACAACCAAGGGTCGCAGGTGAATGACCTCCTGGCGGGCGGGCTGGAGCAGCAGGTAGGGGCTGGAGTTGGTCTGGTAGGAGCAGCGGAGGCTGGGGAGTTGGTAGTGTGTGGGCTAGAAGGGAAGAGTAGAGTTGATGTAAGAAAATAAGGGTCAAGGCTCCTGGGAGCCATGGCTCAAAAATTGGAATTTGAGGGTAAGAGAAGATGGAGTCGCTCAGGGGTTGTTTGGTAAGTTGTATTGTCTCAAGGCATCCGTTTTCCCCACAAACTATCCCGACTCCAGCCCATCCTCCCCTTTCTCTTTCCCTGAGGAGTCCCACCTGGGAGCCCAGGGTCTGGCATAGCCCCTCGTACGTGTCTCTGGTCTGCAGGTGAGGCACATTGGGCCTCTGGATGACAGTTTCAGCCACCGCCTGGTGAGCATTCTCTGCCAAGAGCCTTTCATATTTCAACACATTCCTGGCCATCCTCTTATTATCTGGGTCTGTGGGAAATCCAAATAGGAAATAACACAGATGAACAAATACTGGCCCCGGGAAGAACGCTCAAGATTTCCTTCAGTGGAGTGTGCTGGCACATGCCTTTAACCACAGCTTTCAGGAGGCAGAGGCAGGAGGACTTCTGTGAGTTCCAGGCCAGCCTGGTCTACAATGTGAGAGCTGGTCTCAAAAAAAAAAAAAACAACAACAACCAAAAAATAAAACAAAGGAAGGAAGGAAGGAAAGAAAGAAAGAGAGAGAGAAAGAGAAAGAGAAAGAGAGAAAGAAAGAAAGAAAGAAAGAAAGAAAGAAAGAAAGAAAGAAAGAAAGAAAGAAAGAAAGAGAAAGGAAGGAAGGAAGGAAG